GGAAAAGTGGGAGAAAAGGAAGTACATAATAGAACTAAGATTACCAGCGGGGCAAGAATTACAGCTACAGCATGTCCCCACAGGAGAGTGCAAACATGTCTATCATGTAATCCTGGAGGCTGGTGGAGTCCAAGTGAATGATAAATGTGGTTTGTCTGTTTTTTCTTAAAGTCAGCATCTTGGGACTTTTTTGCAGCATACAGTCAGCAGGATCATGGCAGTCTGGGTTGTTGTTGCTGGATCTAAAATAACACATTCATCACTGTATTTGTTTTTCATTGTGCTGTTATATATTTAGTGGTTAGTTAAGGCATTTAACTCTGGTTTGAATCTATAAGGAATGCCAAGCACTGCATTACTGGAAATTTATGTAAAGTCCTTGGCAAAAATAGGTAAAACCTAAGGGTCTGCAGATGTCCATTTTAGGGAAGCACATAGAGTAAAAGCACATAATGTACTAAATGCCCAGGATTCACAGCAGATTGTGTTATATCATAGAACTCTGGAATCATAGAACAGTTTGGGTTGGAAGGGAGCTTAAAGATCATCTAGTTCTAGCCCTTCTGCCATGAGCAGGGACACCTCCCACTAGACCAGGTTGCTCAAAGCCCCATCAACCTGGCCTTGACCACTGCCAGGGATGGTGCAGCCACAGCTTTTCTGGACTGTTTCAGTGTCTCACACCCTCGCAGGGAAGAATTTCTTCTTAATATCTAATTCCCTCTGCCAGTTTAAAGCCATTTCCGTTTGTCTTATCCCTACATGCTCTTGTAAGAAGACCCACTCCAGATTTCTTGTAGGCCCCCTACAATTATCCCTATTATTAACCCCTATCAACTGGTGTGTGGCAAGATGTGATAGTGGGCTTTTAAATAGATTCCAGAGGAGCGTACTGCAGTTTGGGATGGTGGCAATAAATAAAAAAAAATAAAAGATTAACAAATCAGTAGATAAACGAAAGGGGACATATATTTGGTTCAGTTTGTAACCACTTGTTCTCATTTTCAAATTGCTACTTCACCTGCATGCAAAGTGTTTGAAGTGTAAATACATGATGAATGTTTTAACAAGGAACAGACACCACCCAGAGAGGTTTTGGGGTATTTCACACCATTACATAGTAGTGCATTATTGAATTGGGATGCCATTCACCATCTTTGTAATCTTTCAGAAATAATGCCTCAATTCCTGTGCTCAGAGATTTATAACCTGCGTTAATGTTTGCATTGTGAGACAGGTATGGTAGTAAACCCTGCTGCAGAGGTGCGTCTGATCAGGGCTGGATACAGCCCCAGGGCACATTCTGGGTGGCGCGTGCTGTGCTGTGTGATGTCTGAGTATGTGTGTAAGCTGCTCATGTGTCTGTCCCCAGCAGAAATTGTGGTTGAGGACAATGGCACCTGCACTGCACAAGCTGCTTGCCTGAGGCCAGCAAGCTGGGGCTGTGTCTGTCTGCTGGCCTCTCGTGTGCTGCAGTACAGACAGCTCAGCCCCACCACATGAGGTGGAAAAGTCTGCTTTCAATGTAAGAAACAGATGGAAAAATATATGCAGAGTGATAGTGAGGATGTAGTAGTGGTAAATTATTCTTCTTAGATCTTTTTAGAGGTAGTGGTAGAGGTCACTGCTTTTAGCCTAAGGCAAACTGAAGAGATGTCATGAGGACAATAATGGAAGGGAAGAGGCAGAGGTGAGATGAGGCAGAAGGAATAAACATTTCCCCTGCACAGCTAGTGCCACCACAGAATGAAGGTCAAGCTGGTTTAGGTTATAGAAAAATAAGGCTAATGTTTAGATGGAGTCTTCCTGCAACAGTACATCCTTTTACTGTATTGTAACACACACTTTTCTGCGGGTGATGGTGTAATACAGCAGTGGGCTCTGGCCTGTGTCACGGCAGGAGCACACCTCCTGCCTCCAGGAGTTCAGCTGTGTGCTCAAAGGTGCCTTGGCCAGCCTGGGAGCTTCTCAAGAGAAGGAACCCCAGCAGGGCTCCCCAACTTTTCCTTACTAGATGCTTGTAGACTGAGGCTCTTGCATCTGGCCCTTGCCTGAGCTGCAACCTCACAGGTGTTGCAGCCGTGCCTGTGCCTGTCCCTGAGTCATGTTGACTTGGCCTCCAGCATCTGAGGTACAGGCATGATTGAGCCCTGTTCAGCTTGTCACATCCTAAACCTTACCAGAATTACAGTAAGAAGCTCAGTGTAAAGCTCTAATAGCAAAACTTGTAAGATACCAGTACCAGTTTTTCTCATAGAAGTGACACACTGCATAAATAAAACACTCTAATACAGTCAGATAATTGTTTTCTCAGGATTCTGGTTGCTGCCATCTGCGCTTTGTAGAAGGGAGGTTTTTTACATGATTGCTGGGAAGGGAACTTCTCCAAAACCAGCATCTGGCAGTGGAAATCTTCACCTCCCTGTCTGCAGACTGTCCTGAATTTCCTGGCTTTTTGGAAACCCCGTGGCTTGCCTCTGGACTTGTGTGTCCTCTTGAAACTTGTGCATGCCACTTCTCTGGTCTGGCTTTCTCAGAGGAGGCAATGCATTCCTAGTGACTTGACCAGAGATGTAAGATATAGTAGACAATATGGCAGAAAACATCATTTTGGATTGAGGTTAAGACTATTCTTCCTTTTCTGTTTCATTCTTTATCATTAGGCTCCTTAAGCATACCCAACTTGCAGGCACTGGGGAGCCAGGTTTGAAAGACACACTCGTTCTTTTAGGTGATCTCCTGAGTAGTGGATGAAAGATTTTACCACGTTTTTGCTGGCAGAGTCCTGTCCTGACCAACGCAAATACAGTAATTGTGGCTTGCCTTAAGGATCATTATGCCTGAAATTCAAAATATTTCCTGCTTGTACTCTCCTCGTTATAACATTTTCCATGTGGTGTAACTTCAACCAGTTGTCTCCTGCCCAGTCACCCTGTGCAGCTCTTGTAGACCCCAAGTGTACGATATCCTGACCATCAGTCCCTATGTCAAGCCATCACACTTGTTACCAGGTATGTGACTTTGGGCACAGGATCAGCTTTCTGGTACTTGATGTGGTCAGGCTTTTGTCTGCCCTGAGGGATCCTGAACACTGCCCATTGTCAGAGCATGAGTTTTTGGACTCTGACTGCTGATCAGATCAGGACTGTGCTCCGGCTCAGTCACTCGTAGGGACTGGGGTGCAGCCACACTGTAGATTGGACCTGCCATGGGTGACCAAGCCATCAGCAACTAAAAATCAATTGGTCTTTTAACATTGTTATCTATAACCTGCAGAACTAAAATTCATTTTCTGACTTTAAATATCTGAATATAATTTTAAATCCTTGCAAAAAATAAGAACCACTAACCTCTGTCCCAGGACTGAGTTTGGAAGTCATATCCTTTCATAGCAGTAGTCTTGATTACTTATGAAAGTAATTTGTCAGGAAATGGGTTGTTTTATGAAGAACAACACTGTATTTTTATCTTTGACCCAGAACTATGAAGTGAAAATAATTACTGTCTAGGCAATTTAATTGATTTGAAATGTTCCTACAGAAGACTTAGCTCCTGTGTCTATACAGTCTATGTATAGATTGCATACATAGATCTATACAATCTATGTATAGATTGCAGAATGCTTCAGAAAATAGAAGGATAACGTGTAGCTCCTTAGCTAGCTACAAACACATACAGATATTCTAGGTTAAATAAACTTACTGTTTTGTACCATAAGTAAAGAAAAACCTAAATCATGTTTCTAAAACTAAGACAATCTCTACACTTGCTCAGAGCCTGTAGTCTATGCTTTCTTCAGGCATTCAGTTAAATTCATTTTGCTGATTTGTTAAATTCATTCCCATTTAGCAAATAGACTTAAGATTGTTATTTTCATTAAATCCATGGGCTTAAGCTTGGGCAAAATTAGGTCTCCCCTAATACTTCTCTAATTCAGTCTTTTCCATCTTACACTGGTGCTGTTTTGTGGGGTTTAGTGGCTCATACAGTGAGCTGAGGAGCAAAGGTCATTCAGCACAGTACTCCTAGCAGTGCTGGAAATTGAGGTGAGAGAGCTGTATACTGACTGTATGTGGCCCTGTCACAGCAGGGCTTCTTTAGCATGCTCTTCCCTTTGAACTTCCAATGCATTTGGTTATGACCTGTCTTTCCAGGCTGCACTTTGATCTTCCACATGACTTCTTTTAATGTTTACCTGCTGTCATCTGCTGAAGCCATCCATGCCCAAGCTCTTCACTGTACATCAGAGAGATCTTGCATTTAAGAAATCACTGACACTAGCAATCATTGTATATTATATTGTGTATTTGGGTGACGTAGTCTAGTGTGAGGTGTCCCTGCCTATGGCAGGGTGGTTGGAACTAGATGATCTTAAGGTCCTTTCCAACCCTAACGATTCTGTGATTTTATATATTTGCATCCACACATAACCTTAAAATTTTCTGTTTTGCAGTGACTTTATAAACAATATTTTTCTCTGTTTTATTTTCAACAGTCACATTTTTATTATTTGACACCATTTGTGAAAAGTAGTTACTTAAAGCTTATGCCTGCTCTAGCGTTTCCTGGTTTTAGCCTGATGCAGCCCAGCTTGATTTCAAGGGTATTACTTTTAGCTTACAGTAGTCAGTGCAGGATCAAATACATGACATTCAGAGAGACCACAGTACTGCAGACATGTTTTTTCCTGCTTTCTGAGGCAAACCTGGCAGGGCAGTTGTGCTGTTGAGATTGTGGTAGAGGCAGAATTTAGCCAGGAACAGTTAGCCTTATCCCTATAGGTGTGTATCCATCTGTCCACCTGTGTTTTAGCCATATATACATTATATCATATCTGCTTGTCACTGTGTAATCATATTAATGCCATTTCCCATAAACAGTAGATGGCCACTGAGATATGTCCACAAGTCTTTCTACACTCCTGTAAAAGTGCTTTTCAACACCTTCTGATTTTTTTTTTTTTTTTTTAGCTGAAAGAACACTTCCAAGCCACTCACATGTGCAAGAAGTGCTTTTATTTTTGCTTTAAGTGAAAGTCATCAAGGTCTGTAAAAAGTTGAGTAGAAAACTGTGCTCTACCTTTCAGCAGGCAGGAAAACCAGCTGCTGATCATGGCTCAAAGGTCCCACAGTTTGTAATCTTGCAGGGTACCTTAGGCCTTTCATTATCCGTAGGTACGGCTTCCAGTCTCTGGAGGACCTCCGTGCCCTCGATCAGTTGCCTACAGGAGGGAGAGAGTGCACTTACGATCTGTCTCCACCTGGAGCCGGATCTGCAGCTTCTGGCTTGTGCAGGGCTGTAACACACCCAGGCACTGGTTTCCTATTGACAGGCTGTACCCGCTCTGATCTTTAAAAAGTCGGTCTTTGCAATGGAGCTTCAAATGCCATCGTTTTTGATTAAGTAGCCTCTAGTTGGTATTTTAGGAGAGGTGAAAATATTGTAGCTTTATGCGGCTGCATTTATTTAACGAAGTAAGTGTTGTACCATGTGACCCAGCTACAAATGGCCATTACTCTTGAGGAGAAAGAAGTCAGGAGATGCTGTCGAAAGTGATGGTATTAAAAGTGACTCCCTTAGAAGTATCTTTTGTTTTCTTCCTTCACAGCACCAATCTGAATCCTGAAAACAGTCCAACATTTTGCAGTCTTTACAGTTTTGAGCCTGTCCTGCTCCCCCAGTGTGGGGGCATGAGCTGTGCCTTCTGCAGAGGCACCTGTGTGGCAGCTGCTTTAGGGATTTCATGGATACTTATTCCCAGGCCAACATCCCACACAGTTCAGTAGTGTCAAGCTTATGTGTACTTACCCAAAAGCCACATATTTCTTGTCCAGGTAGGGAGATGGCTGGAAGGTAATGTAGAACTGCGACCCATTGGTGTGGCGGCCCTTGTTGGCCATCCCAAGGATCCCTCTTCCCTTGTGATGGACAGAGAAGCTTTCATCTAGAGAGAGAGTTCAGGGATGAAAGGCTGCAACCGTACTGCTCTCTTTGCTGCCGTTCACTGTACAGCTGCCCTTTGCCAGCTCCCACAAGTTCCCCTTTCCTCCTTCCCCACTCTCTCTTTCCCTTCTCTTTTCCCCCAAAGGTCTCATCGAGTCTCATGCAAGCAAAGTCTGGTTTGAATCAATGTCCTTCCTAGAAAGAGGTTTCCACAACTGTCTATTGCTTAAGCCAGTAAAGAAGCAAATAAAAAAATACCCATAAAAAAGCACTCTAGTGAGTATTAGAGCTACAGCAACGATGCCTCTGGCTCCCCTTTGTCTGTGATGCATTTCATCAGAGCAGCTCAGGGCACTAGCACAGCATTTCCCCATGGCTACTTGGGATTATTCCCACTTTACAGATGAGGAACGCAGGAGGCAGAGCAGATGCTCCAAGCACAGCTTCTGCCCTGCCTCCCCTCATGCTGCTGCCTGCAGTGAACAAAATCCCCTGTGAGCACAGACAGGGCTGTGAGGGGAGGACATGCAGGAAGGCAAGCAGGAGACTTCTTTAGCCAAATAAAATGACAGAGCTGAATGAATGGAGAGCAGGTATGTAGTTAAGGAGGCCAGGGTGCTCCCAGAGCAGAAGCTTTGTTCCAGGGTGAGGAGAGGAGGCAGGTGATGGGAGCAAGAGCTGCAAGGAGGTGAAGAGGATCCTCTGCGCCAGCTGAGGCAGGACTGGTGAGGCTCTCAAGAGGGGTGACTGTGAAAGAACAGGCATTAGTTGTGCTTGGGTTTGGGGATGATGGCAAGGACTTGATTCCATCCCCTCCATGGAGGAGAACCTGGCTACGATGTGCAAAGCAGGGAGTCCACTGATCCTGGCTTCCTCTGTCACTTGTCTCAGTCCTGGTCACATCGAGCAGTCAGGAGCCCCACTGAGTTCTCAACAGACTTGAAGAAAACTGTAGAAACAGTTAGATCTTATAGTTCTCTCTTTTTTTTCTTTTTTTTTTTTTAAATTCTTTCTACCGTGTTTGAGAGCCACTTCTCGAAAACTGATTCATAAAAATGGTAATTGAATTTTAACTGAATGGTTACTCCCTGACTGCTGCCCTGTCGTTTGCAAGATGATTTCAGCAGACTCATTTCAGAGCAGGATGCTTCATCCTATAGCATGATGCTCCAGTCCAAGTGATTTTCTGTAATCACCTCAGCCCGTTCTGCTCATTACAGTAAAATGCAGTTGTGTCCCATTAATTTCAGCAGGTGCTGGTTGCGGTGCCCGGCCACTTGCCAAGTGTGGAGTCTCCCAGAACATCTCTGGCTGACAGTGGCATCTCTCATCCTTTTCGGGTACTGAAGATATTTCTGTTCTGCCCTCAGAGTAGAATAGTTTTGCAGGAAGTACTGGGAAAGTAATCTTAGCCTTAGAATAGAAAGGTATACCCAAGGGAACACCTTTCCCAATGAAAGGCAACTTTTAGTTGAAAAAGGGGGTGGGGAAGAATTAGCAGTCGTCTCCTTTAATACATCAACACGTGGAGTATGTGCAATGTGGGTAATAAAACTCTTCCAGGGACGCTTTCAAAACTGACAGATTCCAAATTAAATCCACCTTAAAATTACTTAAACCATTTTGACACATTGTCACCTTCCCACATGGAATGGGAGCTTCTTTCCTGGGTAGTGCAGAGAAAGCACAAGCATGGATGAGGAGGATGGAGCTGGGAGCAGAATACTGCACATGGGGTTGGGGCTTCATGCCGCAGCCTGGGCAGCATGCAGGGCTGCAGCTCTCCTGTATGCAGAGGTGCCTGTGCACGCTCAAACTCATTTTCCTCCATGGATGATTTCTACCCGACCAGAAAGTGCAAAGAGTGTAAGGTTTGCACTGTCACAAATCTATTGGGCAACACTGCTGGAAAAGCAATCCTTGGTGGCATCCACCTTGCAAACAGCTTTATAGCCAGTCCTGGTTTGTTCTGAAACCAGCTTATGTTCTTTCTGAGACGTGCATGTCCCAGGAGTCTGGGCTTGCTGCTGTTTCAGGAGCAGTAGCCTCAAGAAAGTGATTTTCATCCCTTCCTCTAGGCAGCCCAGAACATCAGTGCCTGAAGGGGCTGACAAGAAAGCTGAAGAGGAGCTTTAGACAAGGACAGATCTTGATAAGACAAATAATGATAAGGCTTTAAACTGAAAGAGGGTAGACTGAGATTAGATATTAGGAAACAGTTATTCCCTGTCAGGGTGGTGAGGCACTGGCACAGGTTGCCCAAAGAAGTTGTGGCTGCACCATCCCTGGCAGTGTTCAAGGCCAGGTTGGATGGGGCTTTGAGCAACCTGGTCTAGTGGAAGGTGTCCCTGCCCATGGCAGGGGGTTGGAACGAGATGAGCTTTAAGGCCTTTTCCAACCCAAACCATTCTATGGCTCTATTATTTACTGCCTTAAATCCCCCAGACTGCCACTTCCAGCAGTTTTCCAGCACACCAGTGCTGAGACATAGCTGGGTGGCCCTCCTCCAGCTGGGTTTTGCTCTGTCCAGGGTCTCAGGGTGAGAGCAGCTTCCTCTTGTGATTGGGTTCTTCTGCATCTTGGGAAAGAAAGTTTTCAGCCACATGTGGCATTTCTGATCTCACTGTTGGCTGCTGCCCAGACTGCTCAAATGTAACATCATTTGCACCATTGCCAGTGGGAAAGCTTTTATATAAGGGAACATAAATCAGTTTCAAAAGTACTTTAACTGTCATAAAACATCTTTATGGGTAGCATAAACAGAAGACCCCAAACGTCTATGTCAATTATATGGGTTGTTTTTCTTAAATATTGAAAGTTCTAATGTTCTTTTTTTTTTTCTTTACATTTTACTACTTTATATCATTATAGGGAACATTTTTTAATTTAGCTCATGTTTGTCATTTCTTGACTTTCATGGTTTTATGAGATTTAGAAGCATCTCCCCTTAAAAACCACAGAGTCACTTAGCCTCTGGCAGTGATGCCTGTGGTGTGCCCAAGCCTGAAATGTTGCATGAGGTCTAGGAAATCTAGAGTTAAAGCTGACTTACTTCCATTACTTTAAGTGCATTTAAGCGGGTGGTATCGGGTGCCTGGAGATCTGTAGCTAATCCACTTTTGCATTTCTAAGGCCCTGCCCACAAAGGTGAGTATTCACAGTCTGAAGTAGGCAGCAGGTGACCATCAGCCCTCATTTAGGCAGGGAGAAGGGGCTGGTGGAGCTGAGCCTCTGGCAGGGGACATCAGGGAAAGGGGACAAGGTTACAGATCACTAAGTGTCCTCACTAAAGCAGTCCGCTCTTGCTAATGCAAGCGGATAATAATTCTGACTGAAAAGCAAACCGTTTTGCTTTAGAGAGATGAAAGGAAATTGCCGGGTTATTCTGTGAATAAAACCAGATCAACAACCTGATTTTTGTGGAAATTTGCCGTTTGCACAGTAAGATAGCTGAGGAAACATACCTTCAAAGGTGGGACCATAAATTGATTCTCCTTGGTCTCCCTTCCCGGTGATGATGTCTGCAGGGTAGATAAAAGTAACCATCAGAGACCAGGTTTATCACAGGCATTACTGGGAGCTGTCAGTGAGCAGCTTGGCCAAGGTCAGAGATGTGGGTTGTGCATCAGCCTAGGGGAAAACTGCATCCATCTTTCTGTTTTACTACTGAAATTTCAACAGACCTTTGGGGAAAGCTCTGCTTCCACCCTAAGAGATGGTCTCTCTGTGGAGAGCTATTTCACTCAGCACATTTAATGTCTGCCCTTCTGAGAAGTTCCAGCATCTCCTGCCAGGAGAGCTCTTACAGTGGCAGCGGCAAGGAAGGGGCACCCTGGAAAAGCATATCTGCCACAGGGAGTAGGGTTAGAAGAAGAAAGGATGAAAATGCAGCTGTGATGCTATGGTGAGTTAATTCCACTAACCTTTCCAAGAAAGGAGATTTGATAAGAGAGAAAATCCCATTGAACCAGATTTCTGATGAGTGAGGCACTGAAGAAACCTGATGCATCTACTATTTTTTCTTTTTTTAAGAAGTCTCTGGATTTTTACTGTATTTAGACATTGTCTTATACCATCAGGTTATCATTAGTCCTCTACAATAGCAAACTTGTAATTTTAGGTTGCTTTTATGGACTACATAGCAAACGCAGGTAAAAAGAAGCACAGGTAGGCAAGATGTATGATAGACCAAAGGGGTGTGATACACCTGATACACCTGTCTTGACTTCCCTGGGGAAGTCACTCAGGCAAGCTGCATGACCATCATTCATAGTGCCTTTCTCCTCAGTGCTATGCTACAGGCATAGCAGTGGCTTTCAGAAAACTCACAACAAGTATGCAAGGGCTCTGATGTTTCACTAAATACCTCCATACACTAATCTCTCTATAAAACAAGTAATATGTTTTCCTACTGATATTATTATTTTGTTCATGTTTCTCTAATTAGGAAACCAAAGAATTACCAAACTTAACCAAAAGGTCTTACAAAAGAACTTCTTGGAAGAGAGTTTTAATGTTTTCAATTAGTTTCCTAAAATTTTCTGAAAAGGTCTTGGATAAGCAAAAGAACAAATTATTCCAACTTTTCCTACATTTAGAAAGTGAGATATCTAAAAAAGAAAATGTTTTCTGGTTTCTATATCTATAATCAGTGAAGAGATTAGCTTTGTCCTGGAGTTCAGTTGTGTCTCTGTGGATGAAGGCTGTTATTCATCACCCCCTGGCTTGTGCTATAGTTTGATTTTACTTGGGAAACCTGGAAACGTACCTCCTCCTTGGATCCACCCATTTTTCACTATGCGATGAAAAAGGGAGTTCTTGTAGGTGAGCTCTCGGCCGTCACAGCGAGACTTTGCTCCTCCAATGCACAGAGCCCGGAAGTTCTCACAGGTCCTGGGACATGCATCTGAAAAGAGCTGCAAGAGCAAGAAGATGAGAACACATGTGAAATTCCTTGCTGACATCCACCAGCCAGATTTCTGTCCCCCTGCCTTCAGCAGGTGAAACCACTGTACTGGGTAGACTTGTTCCTTGCTTTTCCTTTTCTCCTTTCTTACATACCTCAAAGATCAGCCTCCCAATGAGCTGTTCCTCAATGGCTATCTCCAGGTACACGAACACATGCTGTTTAAAACATAAACACAGCTGCAGTGAGGGAAAGGCCAGCTGTCTTTGCTGTGCTCACTTCCTAACGCAGGCTCGGATCCAGCCACCCAGCACAAATGGTCTCAGGAAATGTCTTTGGGACTGTCAATGCACAACAACATTCCTACTATTTTGTGTAAATAAAATAGTAGAGCATGTTTCACTTTGTTCTGGAAAGAAATAATCCTGACAGTGTATTAAAATGAACTACTGGGCAGGGCCTGTTTCTTTATTTTGAATTTATTTACATGCCTATTGCAGCCCATACAATACAGGCAGAAAGAAATGAACCCACAGGTATACCAGCCACCATGTCAAAATGGACATATCTGTCTATTCCCAGCCAGACTGGTATTCATTCTGGTATATTTTTCTCTGCTTTCCATACTGTGCAAGGGCTGGCAGCACTGTACCCAATCCCACCATGGCACTTCAGGGGGTCTTGGCTGGGAAAGAAGTTTGGCTGTTGGGCTTTTAGTACCCAAGAATAAGGGTACCCAAGAATTCTGGTATCCCAAGGGCTGAGTGGTTTGGGATTTTTGGGCAGCACAATTGCAGCATAGTCAGCGTTGTGCTTTTGGCTGTTCAGCCCTGCCGCAGTTAATACTTGTCAAGCACCTGGGCTAGTGTTTGCTCCTTCCTGGCTGCCGATAGTGCAGAGGCTCTGCTGTCCTCCCCACATGGGATGCTCTCCATCAGCCTGTCCAGCCCCAGCTCTGGCCCCCCTGTCACAGGGCAGAAAACCAAAAATCTACCACCTCTGTGCTTGCTCTCCTTCCTCCTTGTGGTACTTTCATCGGACTCTGCCACTTACAGACCTTGAACCCTTGTCATAAAACAGTGCTACTTGCCTGGGTGCTTTTCAGATATTTGCTGTAGAAGTCCTCAGCAGTTGCTTGGTAAAGTGCCTCAGGCCTATGGTCACGATAGCCCCACTCAAGGGAAGACCACTCGAGCAGATTCTTCTCATCCCCCAGCAGCCGGCCATCAAGAAAGCACATCACCGAGGCGGTGTATCCCCACACCTCACCTCTCAGTTCCTGCGTTTCAGTGGGACAGCAAAGCCTCAGGGGATTAATTACACACTTGGTGAAGAAGCAGTCAGTAATAAAAAGTGGTACTTTTATGCATGTCTTACTTTTGAAACACCAAATCCCACCAACTGGAAGGGATCTGGCAGCAGCTTTTGGTGGTGTGTTGACATTGCATTGTTAACATGCCCTAAAGATCTGGATCCTGACGCTGCAGGACATTATTGTGGCAAGAGTCACCTAGGTGTCACTTTGGGGGCAGCTTAGGCTGAACAGGAAAAGCATCTGGAGAGCCCCATCCTGCCTCAAGAGTCTCTGAGAATGTTAAATAAATTGGGGTGGAAAACCTTACTTCTGACATCTGTGGATGGCACCAAGCCGGGAGAGGCTGCAGCCCCGGGGAAAGGACTTGTGTCTGAAACAACCTGAGGACACAGAATTTACCTTCTTTTTCTCCTGTAAATATTCATGCCATGCAAATTCTACTAAAGGCTGTATTACAGGATCTGCAAACTTGCTTGGAAACTTCAGCTTCAGAGCCTGTATTTTCAAGGTAAGGAAAAAAAAACTTGCTTACAAACAGTTTAACACCCTCCCACACTCTATCCTATCACAGCTTGTATTCCCCATGTGAACTACACCCTAAGCCATGTTCTAATCCAGTTACTGCTCTGCACCCCTCATGCCTCTATTCCCAACACTTGTGGGAGCACACGCATATCTTTCTGAATCCCTGCTTGTGGATGTAGTGAGTATCTTGTTTTCCTATGGTGGGCTGCTTCACAAATGTTACTGAAGTTACACTGGTAGTCCCCCTGCCCCTCCCCACCATGTGAGATGGTTGCAAGCAGCGAGATATTCAAAGATGCTGCTGAGCATCTTGTACTGCTTTTTTTGCATGTATTTTTGCATACATGGGGAGTCACAGCCCTCTTACCACACCAGGAGATTGGGCCTAGGGGTGAGCAGGTGGCTCAGTGAAGGCTCAAGGTGAATGTTTCCAGTCCCTGTCGCTTGTACCATTGCCTCAGGAGCCCACTGCTATTTCAATGTGGGACATTCCTGTCCATCAGTTTAGCTTCATCTCCATGTGGGCTGTGGTGCACAAGTGCCACAAGCTGTGGCTTAAACACAGCTGAGCAGGCCTTGAATAAAGGGAAGAAGCGACTTTCTACACAACTTACGATTCTTTTTGCTATTGTTGGGATGGTGACTGGAAAAAATGAAGGGAGAAAAGCCAAGAGGCACACACCCCTTGCAGCTATTGGCTTGTCTTTAGGGCTGCTGATAGATGGCAGAGCTTTGTCAGCTGTAAATAACACTGCGGAACAAGCCTGGCAGGTAAACAGTTACAGGCAGGGCAGGCACAGAGGTCAGACTGTGAACCCCACAGTGGAGTGCGTGCAGTGCATTTGCTGCATAGCCAAGCTTCTGAGAAAAAGTCTGTGAATCCCCGTTTTTGCTTTCTCATTTGCACTGACAGAGCTGCATTACAGGACTGCTGGTAAGCTGCTCAGCAAGTGGCGCAGAGCTGTGACGTGCATGACATCTCACACAGCATTGCACTAGGAGGTGTAGGAACAAGGAGGTGAGGATGCTGCAGCAGAGACCCCTGCCTTAAATAGCGCTGAACCAGAAGCCCTTAAAGCCTCTGTGCCTGTGCCCAGCAGCAGACACCTGAAAGTTGCAATATTTTCTTCAGAGCTGCTGCTGGGCACAGGCATTCTGCTTATTTATTTCCAACCCCCACTGCTCCCTGCTGCTCTCAAAGCAGTGCTGGAGTTGAAGACCGAGCCTTACCTCTGCCATGCACTTGGCCATGTGGAAAGCTGTGTCCTGGAGCAGCCCCACCACTGTCACCAGCATCTGCTGTCGGCCCATGGCACCCTGGCCAGCGCAAGTCCATCAACAAAACCTGGCTCCATGGCAACACTGGGCACCAACACACACAACTCCCCCTGCATTTGTAAGCACTTCCCAAGCCTACTGTAAGCAGGTTTCAACCCTGACAGAGGATGGAAAATGCTCTGATTTCTGTTTTCAAAATGGAAGGAAAAAGAGGTTACACAGTAAGCATGTGGCAGAGGACTGAAGCCAGCTCTCTCCAGAGCTCATGACAGGTGCTGTCAGTACAGGATCATTTAAAAGAATGAAGATCCTGTTGCTAATCCTGCAGTGGGTAATAGCAGATGCCCAACAAAAAGAGGAAAGAGTAAGTGAACATGAGAGCAGTGCTTCCCTATTGGTTTTCCAGCCCCTGGTGACCCTTTTCTCAAGGATTTCCCTGTATCTTTGTGTTTAATTCCCCATGGTGGCTCCTTTTTCACGTGAATTTCTTTGCTTTGCAGACAAACATAAAAATCTGGCATCCATAAAACCCTGTGGCAATGAGATTTCCAGCTTAACTACACCCTGTGCAAAGCATGCATCTCCTTTTAACGCAGAAACTCCAACCTGCAGCTGTATTCCCTGTGCATTGTCGAGGCACCATTCCTGCTGCTGTATGTTACAGCACATGGATGGAGCCATTCCAGAGGAGTCATGGCTTCTGCAGCAAAGCTCTATGCCCCCACAGCAGCTTCACTGCCTTTCCTCTAGCACACCATGTGCAGAAGGGGGTTTGCAAAACAGCTGTAAGGCCCGCACAGGCTTCTGGCAGCACAGCTGGGTCAGGTCACTCTGCACCTCTGAGCAAGGCGCATTTTCAAAGGCAGTCATGTTAGAAGTGACAAAACTGGACAGTGTATCACACCAAAAATTTGTGTAAGTTTTCACGACATTGTGAAGCAACAGAACAATCATCACATGACCAGGAAAAACACATCCTTGACATGTATAAATCCTACCACAAATGAGAAGTTGTGATTTTCATGTGGAAAATATGTTCTGCAGAACAAATGTATGTTAAATACAATAAAAATTGCAGTGATTTCTCATCTTAATAACTGTGCACTTTTTCAATTGTATATCCAAGTGGCTTCATAAAATGATACATTTATACGTAGCCATAGAGTTGGAATGAGAAAGCCTGTACAACCTCTGAGCTATATTGCCTGTGAAAAATTCAGACTGAGAAAGAAAGCACAGGTTGCACAAGGGCTCTGCCATGTAGCCCTCAATTTTCTCCGACCTGTGCATGGCTCAATGGGATTTTCTTACAGCGATTCATCAGGGTAATGCTTTGCAGCAATATTGAAGAGCTCCATCCTCACGGTATCAAAGACCATGAAGATGATCAGATTCCGAACGTTTTGCACCCTTGCTTGGAAGACCTATCCACAAGATGTTATCGTTTCATGTCATGATGCTGTCCTGCTGAAAAAAAACACAGAGAACTGAGGGAGATGAAAGAGTTTGGAGAAGGACATATTAAAATGCTCTGGGAGACACGGCAGTTTTGAGTTACCCACAGGTACTGGTAGCACAGACAAGCCAAGGTGTGACAGCAGCAAACCACGATGAGCAGCACATGCAACTGCTGCTATGTGTCGTAGGCTGTGATGGAGTGATGCAAAGGAAAGCCCCTTTCTGCTCCTCCTCCTCCCAAGGGCTGGCACGACAACTGCCCAAGCCTCTGCAGGCTCTGACAAGCAGAAGCTAATTTTAGTAGCCAGGCCATATGGCTTCTGCTATAGCCAAAAAAAGTCTGTACCGCCCATATGTAAAGTCAAGAAGAGAAGCAGCACACCCAGAGTCAAATATGAGTAATGCTATTTTTCCTCTACATCTGTATTTTTAGCTTGATACAGATTAATGCAGCTGAAGCTCATCTTTCCTCCTGTCTCTTTCCTCCTTTTTGTACTACAGAACATAAGTATTAAAACCAGAGCAATCCACTGCATGTTAAAAAAAAACCCAGATTGATGTCAGCATTTTAGTCAGGCTTTGGAACAGGCTGCCCAGAGAATTGGTGGAATCACCATCCCTGGAAGTGTTCAAAAAAACATGTAGATGAGGCCCTCAGTGACATGGCTTAGTGGTGGACTTGGCAGTGTGGGGGTAACAGTTGGATTTTTATGATCTTAAAGATCTTTTCCGACCGAGTCGATTCTGTCATTCTATGATTTCATAAATGTGCTCAAATATACAGACAAACTGTGTTCCTGAAATTTAATTCTGCACGCACATATATGATTGGTTCCTGTTACGTCTTTTTCAAGACCAGTATTTATGTGTTTTCAACAAACTGCGTTCCTGAAATTTAATTCTGCACGTACATATATGACTGGTTCCTGTTACTTCTTTTTCAAAACCAGTATTTATGTGTTTTGGGCTTTTTTACTGATAGTTTCTAGGCATGGAAATTCTTCCTGTCATTGTGGGCAAGAAAGGGAATTATCTAGAAACATGCTGCTGATAGTCAACTAATAATCAACATCAAGAAGAAAACCAACAATTAGCCAAACAAGAGTAATATTATTAGCCAACAACCTACTAACAGTATTAGCTGGACAGGACTGTTTGCTAACATTTATGATGGACTTTTTTCAAACAGAAAAAAAAAGAGTAAGCCAAGAGCCACCAATTCCTTGTTGTCTCTATCCATTCTGGGTTTTATTTCTCCCCTTCTTTTCACATTGCTTTGTAATTCAGATGCATTAAAACCTATTCAACAGGGTTGTCAATTACCAAAATTATAAATATTAAAATCTATACTATTATTCATTTCAGCCACTTTCTGTTACTTGTTTATAACAACATGAAAATGTTCTGCAAGCTTATTCACAGTAGTTAGAGAAGCACAAATGTTTTGCTGGTGTGAGTTAGGCAAGAGTTTGGCAGTACCGCTCTGCTCACCAGCTGCAGCAGGTGTGCTCTGCTGTGCTGTATTCTGTGTGGACAGAATAACAATTACTGCCAATGAAAATACAGAAAGCACAGGGGTTGTGCAGTACGTTTAAATTACAATACTGAAACCCTTTCAAAGGCCGTGCAGCTAATGTTCTTGGAAACGAAGCCCTTTGAAACATGCATTTACACAAGGCCCTAGAGTTTTGCTTCTGCATGATTCTCGGAGGGCTTCCTCACTCCAAACCTCTCCACCTGCTATGGCTGCAGCCATTTCAGTTCTTTTTAGTCCAAGATAGCATCTGAAAGAGACTGAGAAAGAGAACAGCAAAGCATGATGTGCTGAGAATATCATGCTGTGATGACTAATGGGATGGCCACTGCTCCTGGGTCACACCAGGCCCTCATGCTGCCACAAGCCCTTTCCGAGACTTGCAAGGAAAATGCAGCCATTCGCTCACCCAGCAGTCAAAGAAACCACCACCAGGAACTTCTAAAAAGATCTTCCTACTGCCAGGGAACAAAGGACAGATTCAGGTCCAGAAAGAAGGAAGACCTCTATAAGCTCGGTTTTCCAGATGGAAGGCAGAAACTGACATCACTTTATCAAGAAATTCAAAGCAAAGCCGAACGGATAAGCTGATTTTGAAGATGACGAGATGCTAAGAGGACTGCCCACAACAACCTGAAGGTCTGCAGATGACTGCTGTAACAGCCACAAGGTGCTACCTTTGAGGGCAAGGAGGATCCAGTGGCTTGAAGGAAGACCTAGGAACATGTAATAATCAGTCCCCTTGAGGAAGGGATACAGTTGCAGGTGTTAGAAAACAATTGCAGGACAGGATAGGAAGCTGCTAACGAAATATTTAAATATTATTTTTAATACTATCAGACTGGAAGACCCCACCAGTCTAATCCACACTGCCAGCAGCTCAGCTTCCACCCATAGAACAGCAAACTCTTGAACTTTCGAGTGCCAAGGTCAGGAAATGCTATTTGCAGCCAAATCCATGAATATTACTGGCAGGTAGAGCAGGTATACAAGCAATAGTTGAATACACACTCAACAGAGTGTTTGTTCTGCCTCTTACGGATTTTTTTTCCTGAGAATCAGCCAAAATCTTCAGAAAAAGCCAAAATTTCATGAACTTATATTTAAAAGAATTTTACTCCCCCCCCCCCCCCCCCCGGTTCAGCTACACTGTGTAACTTACAAATGGAGTAGAAGAAATACAATGGTGTTAATGGATCACAAAACGGATCTTTCCATAGTTATTTCATCGTTCCGTGCTTATGTCCAAAATCCTAATCTCATTTTAACATAATCAGCAGTGAGAGGGATTTGCTAAGATTAGTCTATGTGAAAATGAGACATGAAGGTGTTTACTAGCTAAGGATCAAAGATATTTAGAAAGCTGCTTTGAAATGTAGTTTTTAAAGGATGCATTTGTTTGCTAAATAGTTCTTAGTGGCAGCTGGGCTAAAAACCAAAGATGAAGGGATTTCCCTTCAAATACAAAGCTTTAAGGCTTCAATTGCAGCCTTAACCATGCATACACAGAAAAGGGATTTATTTTCATCTTCAATACAAATATACTCCCTAGAAAGGAAGAAAATGGTGTCAAAAAAGCAACACTTGTGGTATGAGAAGTTCGTGTGGTTTCTCAAGTGCAAGCCATGATGTGTGCTGACAACTTCAGCGATGCAGGGTGCAAGGTAAGTCACTGCTGTGCTAGTCACAGCAGCTCATTTCTTCACTGGTAACTTGTGGAAAAGCATAAGAAAATTCCAACCCCCAAACTTCTTTTTTTAAGTCATAGGGAAAGCATCGAGCAGTCAGTATGTGATAGTGCATAACTGTAGCATCGTACTTAATTCTGCAAAGATAACTTCATAATGAACAAATCAAAGTTCAAAAAAGGAGGAAAGTCATTAAGTATTACTTTACTGGTAGTCTTAGAATTTAGCTTGTAACCAGCTTTTAAGCATTTCAGGATTCATAAATACATGGCAGAGAAGGAACTCAGTGTAAGCTCATGTAAATTTATGATTGCCAGACAGTATTATGGCTGCACATTACAGTATTTTAAGATGAAACCACCAGAATATTTATTGTAAGCTTAAAGTTACAGGATTATCAGCAAGATTTTCTTAGATGTTGTAACAAGCTTTACTGTACTTGTTAATGCTCTTAACAGCATCAAGATGCCATCAAGCCTCTGAAGTACAACTGCAGAATACACTGGTTCTCTCTGGTGGCAGAAAGTACACAAATTGTATTTCTCCATTTTGAGAGGAAAGAAGAGGTGAAAAGTCTAAATAGGGGTTTGCTGTGGGAAGGTTTGGGGCTCTTCCCCCCCCCGCCTTCACTGGTTTGTTCTGTCTACCCTTCTCATGATCCATTTATATAAAAACTGATCTAGTACTTTGAAAAACTGGAGGTACTTACTCAAACTCCCACAGCATGCAGTCAGAAGCCAGCTGAGTAGTCTGGACTGGAGTGAGGAATGTCATCCAGAATATGGCCTCTCCAGAATACGACAGACATAGATATGCTGGACTGAGGGCAGCAAAAGTCCACCGAGGTGAATAAAGAGCTTGGGCACATGATGGAAAAGGCTGAGAACTGTGTTTGCTTAGACCCTAGGTGTTGGAAATGTTGGAAAGACCTTCCTGCCGTTTTCAACTACCTAACAGGAGGTTGT